ATCTTACTTTTGTATTGAGGTTGTGAACTCAAGTTTTGTTATAAAAGTTGGCTTTATTTTAGACTTTCGATGTGTGACTTTGAAAATTAAAATAGCCTTAGTCGTTATCACGGTGGAGGTAATACTTTGGATATTTCCTAAAAAGAGTTTTATTTAGAGTAGAAAATGTAATTTTAAAGAAGAGAATTTTCAGGGTATTACAACGAGCCTATTCTGATTTACTGAGCTGAGCTGAGCTGAATTGAACTGAACCGATTGGAGCTGAACTGAATATTTTATGAGAGAAGGAAATTAGGAACTGAAATGAACTGAAATTAAGCTGAAGAGAGGCCCTACATTACCAAACATTCATAATTTTTTGTTAAGTAATGGTTTAACTTGGTCAAACAACTAAAAGTTACTACCAAATATGCCTTAAGCTGATAGTTAAAGCCCAAGATCGGTTTATATACTCTATTATTATGTAATACTTATTCTATATTTATTTACTTGCAACACACAATTTTGAATTTTTGACACGCATATGAAAGGAGATATTAGATTAGGTAAATAAGCATATTAATTAACAAAATTTTACCATTGATTAGAAGAATGAAAAATGTTACCATTTAAATTTTATAGCTATAACTTAAACGACCCTTCTAGGTGTATTTTCTCCTTTTCTCAGTTAACTACTCGTTTAGTTTTACTTTTTCAGTTCTTGGTTTTTCTCCTTTAGTTGGGTTGTGTTGTTTTTATGTTATTGTTTAGTTTTTAGATCTTGCTTTTTTTATTCCCTTGTTATATGTTCTTGTTTTTCTTTTCTGTTCATGGGTTAGTTTTTCTCCTTTTCTCTTCTATTGTCTTTATTAGTTTTTATCTCTTTTCTCGATTTCTTTAACTTGGGTTAGTTTTCCATTTTATACGAGTTGTTGAGGTTCTTCTTTTGTTTTGTTCACCAAGTTCTTCTATCTTTTGATTTGTAGTAGTAGTCGTTGAAGGTTTGTACCAGGTGGAGTTTCCTCCTTCTTAGGTTGTTTGTTGTTTTTGTGCCCTTTTTTTTGCTCTTAGATTTTTTTTGGAAGCTTGATATGGAGTTCCTTCTAGCCTTTATTTCTTTTCATCTTCTCGATGATTTCAATGATAAAATTATTTTCCAACTTCTTTCCTCTATGGATAATCCTGATGGTGTTGTTGTTCGTTCCTCGGAGTACAAGGATCAAGGGAACTCCTTGTTTAAGGTTGGCAAGTTTAAACTTGCTTTTTCTAAGAATGATTTGGCTAGTAAATTGTTATGTTTTACTATGCCGTGTTCTGTGGAAGATTTTTCATCGTTTTGATCTTTGGCATTTGCTTTGCATCTCAATCTTTGCGGCTTGTGCTTTGAAGCTTCATGATTATTTTGCTGTTGTCAAGTTTGTTCTTTCGTGTTAGAGTTTGAATCTTGTCATATTAAGGTTCTTTATAGGAGAGCCTCTGTGTTTCAAGAATTGGGCAAGATTTGTTTTGATAGAAAGGATTTGGTTAAGGCCTCTAAAGGTAATCCTAAGAAAGTAAAGACGTTAACAAAGTTACATTGTGTTGAGGGTTTGTTATAAGATGTGTCTTTGGTCGATTAGAAACAGAAAGGTAAGAGGGTCTGGTCTGTTACCCAGGATTCTCAATTTCTCGACGATTGTCAGGTTAAAAGGGATTGCTGTATTGCGGATGTGGCTGCTCCGACTGTTGAGTTTCAGTATAGTGGGTTAAACTCAGTTGTTGTTTCGGAGCTGGTATTATTGCCTAATTCGTCCGGTGGTGATAAGGTTTGTGATCTCCTACCACCAACTTCAGAGAGTGTTGATATGGAATGTGATTTCCAATCAGATTCAGTTGGTAATGACAGGAGTTGTACGTCTATACCGACTTTTCGTCAGGAAGCTGAAGTCCCTCGTATGCATGAGTTTGTTTCTCGAAATGATTCGAATTCATCCCTTCGACTTTCTTCCTCAAATTTGCAGCAGGTTAAGCAGGGTAATGTCATTCATTTCTATCATTCAAAGTCCATGTCGTTGATGTCTATTCGAGTTCGTCCGAGTAAAACTTCTATCTAGATAGAGGTCCCAAAAATTTAACCTCCCCCTATTTCTACTTTAGTTAAGTTTCCAAATGGATTGGAGAAACAGGCGATGTCCACTTTAGAGTTCTTGTCTGCTTCCATTTCGCAATCCATGCATGATCCGAGTTTGCAATCGTATCCGGAGAAGGTTATCCCCTCTGTTACGACAAGCTCTCCCACAATGTGAAGTCCAGTGTAGCGGTATCCTCTACCTTCACTTCACTACAGGTATCCTGTGATGATGCGGGGCGACAGACGGTGCCCATCTCAGCCAGTTCCCATTTTGCAGCAGTCCTTAGGTGCTCCAGTTCGGAAAGCATGACTGCCCTTTCTAATGTTGATAGACACATGGAAGGGATGATTTCACAGGAGTGTGTGGGACAAGTTTGTGATTCCAGTTTTGTCAGTTCGCCATTTTGATTCCAATGTCAAGTCTTCGACTCAACCTCTTCGCCGTCACAAGTCTATGTTTCATCCTCGGTTTAGGAAAGTGTGTTCTCTGTTGGATCGACCTAGTTCAACACCAGGTTGCAAAGTGGTTCGTGTAGGTACAAAGCGTGATCGTGGGCTTAGTGTGGAATTCAAGTAGTCCAACTTGACTCGAATAAAGTTTGTCTCAAGTATCTCTTTGGTGTTTTTGTGTAATGTAGTTTATTGGTAGTCTTTGTTATATTTTTTTTCTTTATTACTCCCTCCGTTTTTAAATACTGACTCCACTTTCCTTTTCCAGCCGTTTTAAAATACTTGCTCCATTTCCTTTTTTTGGAAAGTTTTTACAATATTTAATTCATTTCTCACACTTAGTGGACCCAACATAATACTCTCTCTCCTCCTATTCTTCCACTACTTTTGTTTTTTATAATTTTAGTACCCCACTATCTCCATATTTTATTACTTTATCCAATTTCTCCTAAAACTCCGCGTATGGAGAAATTGAGCAAATATTTTAAAACGGAGGGAGTAGTACTTTATATATAAAAATAATAATAATAATAAATAAATAAATAAATTAATTAATTAATTAATTAAATAATAAAATAAAAATAAAATAAAATTAAACAACCCTATGTTATAATTTTTGAATAAACATATTTTATACTCTAAACAGGGGGTTCGAATAAAAAAAAAACTTCGTAATTTCGTTTGAACGTTAAGACTCTAGTTTTATGATCCCTCCGTTTCTTATTTCTTGCAACATTTGCCATTTTGGGGTGGTTCACATTTCTTGCAACAAACTTATATTTTTCCTTACTAGTTGTTGGCCCGCGCGCTACGCGCGCAATCCCCCAATTAGGTGATTTTGCCTCGGTGATTAGTGTGTAATTAGTCGTTGTTTATGTGATAATGTAATTGGTTGTATTTTGATTGTTGATTTTCGTTTGCTTTGATTGGTTAGTGTATAATGATCACTTTAGCTATAGTTAATAAATAAGTGTACAAAACTAATGCTTCAACTAAAATTGGAGCTGTTTATAACGTTTTGTCAAAGAATTGTGTTTAGATTATACGAACTTTGCATAACATGTAGCATTTCAGAGTGTATTGAACCAAATTAAGTAATGATGGGAAGTAATACATATAACTTTTTTTTTTGGGTGCAAATACATATAACTTTATTATAAGTAAACAAATAAGTAATGTTACGGAGGGAAAAGATGAGAGCTTGCGGTTCCCATACATGGTGATCTACTCAGTACGCGCGCGGTCCCTCAATTTGGTGATTTATACTCGGTGATTAATGTGTAATTAGTCGTTGATGTATGTGTAGATTATTTTAATTTTGTTTTGGTAACGGAGTCAGGTAATTTGATTCGTCTTTGGTAAAACTCCCTATTTACTATAACGTCTCTTCCTTCTCTTTAATTTTGTCATTTGAGAAGTATATATATGATTATAAGAGTACATAAATAATGTTTATTTATTAATTAATAATCTATAATAAAAGTTTTTTATCAAAATATTTTCATTTTTTTGTAAATATCATATTATAGGAAGGATTTCGAGCTTCTTACGAGCTTTCGAGTCGAGTAATGAGACACTTGACTCGTTAACATTTCGAGCCAATCTCGAGTTTGAGTCGAGCTCATCACTCGAGTCGAGTTTTGACCTTGTTAACATTTCGAGCCAATTTCGGGTTCGAGTCGAGTTTTAACCGAGTCAAACTCGAGTAGCTCGCGAGTTGTCTCGTCTCATAAGCTCCCCTATGAATTAGAATCGAATTTAAGAGCTTTGATTTAAATGAATTAAATAAATCACTTGGGGCATCAAATGTTAAAAGGATACTTTTAACTCAAATGGAAGAGCTATATAAATACAAGATGTATTTGTTAACAAATTTGCATCATCATAAATAATGGCACGCAATCCCCCAATTTGATGATCTCTAATTGATCATTATCACTTTTTTTAGGGAGTTATTATCATTTAATTAGCTTATGTTTTATGTTACATTATTTTATCTGTTTACTAATAATAAAGTTATGTGTATTTATAAGTGTGACAATTTTGATTAGCTTTGTTTTATGTTAATCATCGAACCTATAATTCTGGATAATGTGAGCGGTATTCAATGTGTATATATATATACAATTTCTCTAAACAAATTAATTTAGTAACTTTTATGATTATACAATACAGTTATGTAGACATAGACTTCATTGTCTGTATTTTTTAAACAATTAGTCCTGCATAATAAAAGTATTAATTCTGCAATCCTTTCATAATGAAGAATGCTACTTCGATTTCAATACGTTAACGAATTTCTTATAACATACAGAAGGAAAAAAGGGGAAAATTCATGAAAAATTGCACATGTCCAAATGTAATTGCTACTTAAGCTGTAAATTATAAGATTTGATAGCAGCACACCCTAAAAAAGAGTGAAGAGCCTGAACTCTTTCATATATTCAGAAATTTTTGGAGCTTAAATTCGGTAAAGAGCCTCCTCGATCTCCTCCTCAGTTGCTGTAAAATTAATCAAAGTAGACAAAGAACAAGAAGTATGATCATTCTCATACTCGGCTATAAACCTATCGAAATCAACTGTCCTTACCCCGGGATCAAATCTCATGCCTGAATCATTTACTTTATTTTGTTTCAAAATGTCAGCTAACATGAAGCCAAACTCATCCTTCCAATACACCACCTAATTTTATAATGGAGAAAGCCATAATCAGAACAGATTATTTATTTTAATGCCCACATTAATTATCTTTAATCAAAATATAAAGTAGCAAAAATCCTACAAAATCAAAAAAGCATAAGCAAATAAAGTAGCAGCTCAAAATCCTCCGATATTGTTTGAAGCCACATGTACCCACACTGGAATTAACCTAAAAATTAGTGTTGAGACTTGAGAGTAATAAATCATCTTAAAATATTTCTTATTACTACCATTTCCCTTAAAGAAACTCAAGACTAATCACATTTGCTCTTTGTCCTATTCCAGACAGTCACATCACCATGAAGATCACAATGTCAAAGCAATAGAAGATAAAAGCACTCAGTAGTACATTACAAGTATCCTTTAAGCTCTTTAATGATTAAAATCATTTGAAAATCAAGCAGATTATTCATGGAAAGACAAATGAAGATTATTTCAATCAGCAAAAAAGCCTTTCTACATACTACACACAATGACCAAGTCTGACCTTCTTGACAACATTCAGTACGCAAGGCCGGATTTCTTCGGTTCGATAGGCTCCAACACCAAGATTGAGCTTCTTTTCATTCATATTAGCTTTAAAAGTTTCTGAAACACCTAAATAGGGTCTGCAGAAGCCATTGGTATACCATCAAAACGACAAACATTGACAGTGGCAACCACGCTAACCCGACTGAAAGACTGCAATAGGAGGACCAAACACATAAAAACAATAAGCATACAATGAAGATTAAAACCTTGTTTTAGGTAAAGCTCAACCAATAAAACCTTCCAATCCACCCATCTTCTTCCCCTAACCTAAAATGATTAGATTTATTGTTTATGGTAAAGTTCAGAATCATCCATGAACTTTGGCCATTGCTAACCAGAATCATTACACTCGAAGAAACAATTTCAGCATGAAATTAAGATAACGTGGTCCAATATGCAGCATGATTCCCCCCCCCCTCTCTCTCTCTCTCTCTCTCTCTCTCTCTCTCTCTCTCTCTCTCTCTCCTCCTAAGAATTAAGTAAAGGATTCCCAGTGATTCAAATCCTAATTGTTGTGATAATGAGTCAACACTAACATGCTAAAGCTATATACGGATTACTGACCTCTATTCACACCTGATCAGATTTTTAACATAATGGAAGCTAGAGAAGTATCAAATGAACAAAGTAAACATCCCTTAGCTCATAAATCAGAGAGTAGTAGTCTTTCCACTTTCCTGCACTTATTTAAATTACCCCACTTCATCCTGAATAAAGAACCCTTCCCGTTGTTATTCTCACTACTTATAGTACCTCAATCGATATACAATAACGATTCGATAACTTCACATTCATTCTATTCAATATTGAATTGCTCAACGCTTCCCCCAATAATCCCCATGCCTATCACAATTTATGTTGCTTGTCAAGATATTACTGATTAACTAATCTTTATATATACTACTTGCATCACAGTTAAAGAGGAAATATACAAAGTGCATAGATGAGTGATTATCAGAAGAATATTCGATTTCAACTGATCAAATAGAAGCCAAACCAGAAAATATACAAAATAAATCATTTCCACTTATTTGGATAATCTAAAGACCACGTATAATGGTAGAAGATATAGGAATCTGCAGTATCACACTATCACATGCTCATATTATTAAGCCTTAATAGTCACTTAGATGAGAACTCTCTAATATCAATTGACCACCAGAGATAAAACAGACAATCAAAACCTATATTTAGAACAATGCACCTAAGGTTCCAATGTAGCTAAATATAAAAAACTAACATCTCATTCAAATCAAGAGATCAATCAAGTAAATGTTGCAGCAAAGGCAAAAGAGGATTCGTCCAGCTTGAGTATATTATTAACTAATTACCAAGATAGAGAAGACATGCCTTGACAGAGCTCGCCAAGGGGAGGATGGCTAACATTGCTCTTGACAAAGGTCAGTTCTTCCTGTGTGCATCCAAAGACTGATGCTAGGTGATCCTCACTCTCAGACCAAATTCAATAATATCAACTTTGATATTGTTATAGTGTTCATGCTGGGTGATCCTCACAGCATATATTTGCTAGGTGGTTTAGTCTTGCTGAATTTAAGGTCAGTGACGGCAGCATTTTAAGGTTAGCACACACATTTATAATTCTATGCTAGGTTAGTTTGATAATACTTTCAAATTTCAAATTATGAAGCAACACAACTATATAAGTTTCCTCAACAGTGTACAAGAATTTGTTTTCTGTAGATTATATGGTTTAGGGTGTACGTCTGAACTATGAATTATGAGCAGTGCTGTCTATTTATCAAATGAAAATAAAATCCTATGAGTAATTCCAATTAATTAAACTAAATAAAACAAACAATCAATTTAATTGCAAAAAATACATAAAATCTCACCCATATCCATGCTCATAATAAGGTAAATTAAAGCGAAGGGTTTCAACACCATCGAAAACCCAAGCATCCTTTGCTTCGCCGGAAACATTAGCGAACTTCACGAATTCCAACTCATCTTCGGCGACAACTTCCGAATTCAAAAAGTAACGGTCACTGGTTAAAAAAACAACAATATATTAGAGAATCATCTAAAAAAACACAACAAAAATCTAAAGAGAAAGAACCTAGACAATCGAGTTTCGGGTTATAATGAGAGAAATATACACACACGCTGAATTTTACTATGCAACCCATCAATACATACTGACCCAAGTATATATGAGGTGGTGGGCGATTGCAAAAGGCCCCGGAATAAACATGGACGCAAGCTCTCCGCTTTCAGTGTTGAAGTCCGAGGAGAGGTTCTGACTTTGCGTGACCCCCTTGCAAATCTGCTCTACCTTGGCAGCAGCTGTTTTTTATGCCTTCTCATATTCAGATAATGTAAGAGCTTTCTTGATATCTTCTCTGCTATGCCACTGGGCATCTAAACAACCGCATACATACATTAGAGACGTAAAATAGATTAGATATAAGCTGATATTTGGCTAGTCGCGATCCATTAATCAGGTATAGAACAGTTAATTGTAAGTTCTTACCTAAGTAATACTTCCTCTATTTCTCAATACATAAATCGTTATGACTTTCATGATTACCAACGAATAACTTTGACTCTTAATACCTAATTTTTAAAAAAAAAGATATATATAAAGGTAATATATTAAAATTATACTGAGATTAACCAAACAGTTATAATAGTTTTATTTATTTTTACTTATTAGTAATAAAATGAGGTCCTATAAGTAGTCTAAAAAATCATCAAGTAATAAAGGAAGTATTGAGATCTACTTTAAGTTTCATGTCCAAATGAGGAAGGCAAAAGAAAGATAATACAATAATAGGAGAAAATGTGGCAAACCATACCTTCCAATTCATCCTTATCCACAGTTATTTCAAGAGATCTCTCATAAGCAAAGAAGCCTACCATCAACTGGCAGGGCATGCTGCTTGGCCCAACTGGAAAAGGTCGAAAGTTAAAGTTTGTTAAGCTGAGACAAGAAACTGATTGCAGAAATTTATCTGCTATGATAATTAATTCATTACAGACTTACAGTATGACAACACACAAAAAAAAAAAAAAAAAAAAAAAAAGGTTAAATAGGAGATGACTTTTACTCAGACATCAGAGCTCCAAATGAACTTACCAGGCCATGGCTGAGAACTATGATAGACAACTTCTCCTACTTCAATCCTAGTTTCCTCCGATGTTTCTCTTCTCACTGCTTCTTCCAAACTCTCTCCGGGCTAAGACAAATGTATCACAAATGAGGTATGGAGTCATCATATTTCTGCAGAGTACTAACCTCTAAAAAAATAGCTAAACAACTCCACATTCTAGGTACGAATCTCGGCTGTCTGCTTTAAAGTGCACGGTCATTTTCCTTGTCGATCACGAGCATAATGACTACCTGGTAACAGGACACACAACAGGAAGAATTTAATTCCATTTGTTCAAACAGTGCTTCTGCATTGCATAATGAATGAGATACTGGCATCAACATACTGGATCAACACGAGGATATATCCTCCTTTTGCACAATTCATTTGAGCACTGCACTCTTTTCCCAGCTTCCCTGGGAATTGTTTTACTTCCACACTGCCCGCAAAATCGTGATGTTCCATGCCATTCAAGCAATGCTCTAGACTAACAAACACCAGATGCAGAAAATACAAGACCATAGTTAGACGGAATTTGAACAAGAGAACAAACTAAGAAGCTAAAGAATCAAGACAACTGATTAGAACTGAAGCGTTGAATTCGCCAGTACTGGATAAATGATTTTGAGCTTATGCACTGAATAAAATGAGGAACAATATCAAATACGTAGTATAAAAGCTAAAGAATTAGATTCGCCAGCAGTCACACAAAGTAACTGGACAACTATTTTGGCAAAGCAAAGCTGTACAAATGCCACTACAATAGAAACTCAAGCACATTTGAAAGGAATAAACTTGGTCATTGAATGTTTAGATAACAGATTCAATCCCAAGTTTCCAACCCCATAATAAAACAGAGTTGAGAAAGATAACCTTGCATATCTATTTACTTTAAGTCTACATAATTATAACTTCTTGTTTAAATGTGAAAGTTAAAGAACTGAATAGCTTCCCGTTTAAAAAAATAAATAAATAAACTGAATAGCTGACAGTTTTAATCTACATACATATTACATCTTCCCATATAATACTCATGAAATTAATACTTCCCAAATGAGATGTCATTAAATAGAAACCAAGATACATATTTAACTTTAAGATTCAAAATCAACAATACAAATGCTTCATTCATGTTTCTCTGTCATTTTTGTGTCCCATTCACCACAATCATGTTAACCAAACCCACCTATGGTACCCGCATAAACAAATTTTACATTTTTAAGCCCCTCTTCTTTAACAATCATTAACATTCTTGGCACAAATCAAACTTATTTCTTCCATCTCCGTTTATAAGAAGATGCTCTAGCTCAACTACGTCTGCCATTCTACCACCAAATAAATAATAAACCCTAATTAAAACAAAAAATTCAAGAATCAAATCAACAAACCTTCTCAAATTCCCGAGTCTTCTGAAAATCAACAGCAGAAGGTCCCGCCATAGAAATCGGCTTCGTCACTCCAAGTTGCTTCTTACAAAGATAACTAAATTTAAAATGTCTAGATACAAGTTAGGAATACCATGTACACCCTTCAAGCTCAATGGATTTTGGGTAAGGAGATGATTTAAGAGTAAAAACGTTTCATCAGACATCCAGATTCCAACAAAAGCCCAAGTAAAAGATAAGTTGGTTCAGACTTCAAAACAAAGAGTGTGAAAACCATAATTCTATGCTAGGTTAGTTTGATAATACTTTCAAATTTTAAATTCTGAAGCAGCACAACTATATAAGTTTCCTCAACAGTGTACAAGAATTTGTTTTCTGTAGATTGTATAGTTTAGGGTATACGTGTGAACTATGAAGTATGAGCAGTGCTGTCTATTTATCAAATGAAAATCAAATCCTATGAATAATTCCAATTAATTAAACTAAAATAAAACAAACGATCAATTTAATTGCAAAAAATACAGAAAATCTCACCCATATCCATGCTCATAATAAGGTAAATTAAAGAGAAGGGTTTCAACACCATCGAAAACCCAATCATCCTTTTCTTCGCTGGAAACATTAGCGGACTTCGCGGATTCCAACTCATCTCCGGCGACAACTTCCGAATTCGAAAAGTAATGGTCACTGGTTAAAAAAACAACAATAGATTAGAGAATCATTTAAAAAAACACAACAAAAATCTAAAGAGAAAGAACCTAGACAATCGAGTTTCGGGTTATAATGAGAGAAATATACACACACGCTTAATTTTACTATGCAACCCATCAATACATACGCCCACATGTATAATACCAAGCATTTGATTTCACACGACCAGTAGCTATTTATACAAATACACATGGCCTGAAATTTCAACCCATAAGCTTTACACTTGAAATTAAACAGGAGAAATGTAGTAGCAGACAATAAATTGAAATATATGAGAGGTCTGCAATATCAAAATTCATGGTTTTATCATCCATTGCTGTACAAACTTGTAGACCACACGATGCTATCAGCATCACATTGGAAAGAAGAGCCAACAATCTAGTTCTGCTTGTTGGCTAGTTCAAGGCATTCGTTTCAAATTTAAAGTTAAAATCAAAAATAAAAATAGTAATCTTCATATTTGGTAAAAAATCAAATTTAATTATGAACAATCAGTTTTCATCAGTAATAATCAACAAAACTCAGAAACACAAGAGGAAGGATTGCAGAGTAAAGTGAACACAACCTCAGAAACATTCTAGTTCGATTCAAAATCCGTAGAAACTTGGGTTTTCGGGCTAAGAATACACTGTGAGCCTTGCTTGAGCTATCACAAGTCTCGATCTGCAGAAAAAAAAAAAAAAAGAAAAAAGCAGCAAAATGACACACCACACAAACCAACAGAAATCAAATTATATCAATCTAAATGCTACCTGATAAATTATTCTGATCTGAAATCAAACAAATGAGGGAAGGCTACCTGAAGACCAGTTGTAGGAACAGCAAGAAATGTGGGTCTTGCGAATTAGCGACCCACCGAAAACTGAAGGACAACCCGATCCCGATCAATAATTGTCTCTAATATTAGATGAGCACCATTAAATAATCTGAAGAAAACAACAAAAATTAGAAATACTAGATGAAGAATGAACAAGAAACAACTAAAATCAACATGAATTATTTTAAAATTAAGGATTTAAACAAATAAAAAAGCAATTACCTTCCCTAAATCAGCATTCCGCCTGGGTTCATCCTCGGTGGGACTTGCAAGTAAAATCGGCTTAGAAAAAACATTATACCTCAGAGAAGTGAAAGCTCAAAGTAGGCTTCAATGGAGAACTCAGAGTGCGTTTCAATGGAGAACTCAGAGTGCGGTTCAATAATGGTGGAGAGAGAGAGATTTGAGGATGCTTAGGAGAAGAGTGAGGATGAGAGGAGCAAAAGCAGGAGAGAGAAATGAGAAACCCGAAAAGACCAAAATAACCTTGTCAATCAAGGAAGGGTGTTAAGGGCAGGTGAGGGCAGAAATGTCAATTCCCTGTTCATAAGTAACAGTAAAATTGCTACAGTAGGGGTGCTTGGGGCTTTTATAAGGGTTATAGATTTGAAAACTTTTTGCTGTTAAAATGACCAATATACCCTTACTAAAAGATTGTTAACACATAATGCTACACATATTACAACCCATTATAATCCTAATCTAAATTACTTATCTATAAAATCACACCCAAATAATCAGACCCATTATCTTTCTTTCTCCTCTTGCATCTCTCATTTCATCTTCCTCATCTCTCATAATCAAATCACTAGTTCGTCGGATTTTCTTCAACTCTGATTATTAGTGGCTTTGGTGGGTCATCAGTGGTGTCGGGTTTGGTGGTTCACCGTTCTTAGTGGATTTGGTGGTTTGTCGAGATTGGTGGTTTTTTGCTTTTTGGTGTGTCTTCAGCGGTTTGTGTGGGTTTGGTGGTTTCGTTGGGGGGTTTGGTGGTGTCGGTGGTTTCGTTGGGTGGGTTTGTTAGTCGAGGTTGTGGTGGTATTGGTGGTTTCAGTGGTTTCACATGGATAGATGAGGGGCTTTAGTGGTTTCGTAGGTTTGGGGACGTGCATCTGGGTGGTGGTGTCGTTGGTTTCGTAGGGGTGGAAGGGTGGTTTTGATGGTTTCATGGGTTTGGTGGCACGGGTCTGGATGGTCGACTGGTGGTTTGGGTGATGTATGTGGGTGGCATACCGTGCCTTCATCGGTGGTGGTGCTTGACTTTGGTTGCTTAATTGCTATTTAGTTGGATAAATTATTCACCCTCTCTCTTCCTTAATTACATCATTTACATGCCCTTATTTTTTATTAAATATGCTTAACAAGTTTTGACTAACCACGCTACCCACTTTTTTGCAAAAATTAAGAAACGTAGTGAGTACATTCTTTGCAAGTAGAATTACATGTTCACTTAACATCCAAAGTGAACTGATCATCAGTGGCACATGAAATACATGATAGATTAGAAAGCCCTAATTTGAAAATAAAAAACGTGGCAACAATCCCATCAAAGATCTCCATATAAAAAAGCTACATTGATTGGCACAGTAATTTACAGCATATGACAATACAGTCACATTGCCATTGCACTGCTATAATACTTTAACAGGGACAACATCCAGCACTTGTTATACGTTACTAAAGCAGCCATCAGAATATATGCAAGCAAACTGATCAAATCACACTCGACATTTGACCTGTTAAGGCAGCTTTGGCAAACCATAAATGGGCAAATAAGAACTACGCAAATAAACACATACTACATACGAAGTACTGAAGTTAACACAAGAAAATTGCTAAACCAGTATCTAAAGACGTTACCATTGATTCATCTCTCTAAACAGAAAAAAAATATAGGTTCACGCAGCAAAATTTGACAAGTTGATTGTGCAGCAGTCTAAATTGTCCAAAGAAACACAACCAAAACGAAATAATAAGCAAAAACTTAGGAGACACGGCTTAGTAACCACCCTTAAGATCGTTGGTAACATCATAGGGAATAGGAGTAACAGTCTCAATGGTCTGACCCTCGACCAAAAATCCTGGCTTGGGACCTTCAGGTTGCCTCTTTGTGCTGATAACTTCACCTCTGGCCTTAGCAGCAGCCTTGAGCTCATCGTTCTTCTTTATCCTGTGCTTAAGATCCTCCTGGCAACGTGAACTCTGGATGTGCTCAATACGGACATGAATCCTCTTGGGGATGATTCTGTTACCAACCTAGAGATTAACGCGACAGAACAGTAAGTAATCATAGATAAAACTGGATGATAAATTTGCATAATATAAATCAAAAGCAACGAACTTTTAACATAACAAGGGTTCAGCTATGCCTGATCAGCACACCCCCTCCGACTTAACAAGTTATTCCTAGTTTATGGCACAAAGAATTGATTTCTGGAACAGCTAATTAAACTTCGACAAGAAAAACCAGCCTGCATTTAACACTGATTTGACTCAGTTTATCAAAATAGTGTGTTGCCTAATTACACAATGAAAGCATTGTATCGTTCCTCTCGTTATTAAACTTCGAAATCATATTTGATAATAGCTAATCCCATTTATAGTTAACTCTAAAGAACTAGCTAATCCTAATTACACAAGATAATTAACATATGCTACCAAATTTAGCCATAATTTATCATTTAATGAAATTCATTATGCTTCACAAATCAACCCATTTCATTCATATGACCTGAGAAAACAAACTATAAACCCTAATACTGAACCAACCAAAAACCTAGTTACAGCCGCCGCCGCTAAAAGGCACAAATTATCATCACATTACAATCAAATAATATTTAACTTGGACAAACGCAAAATAACCAAAGAAAATCAAATTATATCATAAAATTCGTAACATTTCATGTACCACAGATCTTAAATGTGCATACAAAACCATCATAATCACTTAAAAAAATCAAAATTCAAATCAACAATTTCTCATAAATTCAAACTTACATTCATCCATAAACATGTCAAAATCACCCAAATATTTCTCATATCTCATATCAAACTAAGAACAAACCAAATTACTGATTAAACCCAGAAAAATTATCATTTTTATAACAAAATCCAGCCACTGAATACTCAAATAGAACCAAAAAAAACATCAATAAAATCCAAATCAAAGAAATTAACAAACACATAAAACCCAGAAATAATCACAAAGAAAATGAAAAAAAAAAATGAATTTATACCTGCTTGTTGACCTCAACACCAATAGCACGCTTGGTGATATTCCAGACACGGCCAGTGCGACCATGATAGAACTTATGGGGCATACCCTTGTGAATGGCACCATTAACCTTGATATCAACATACTCACCGATGTGGAAAGTACGAAGGTAAGTTGAGATTGGGATCACACCCTTTCGCCTGAACGGCCGTGCGAACAGATCCCTTGTTCTTGCCCGTGCACCATGTCCAGCCGGCATCTTTTCTCTCTCTCTCTCGCTCGAAGTTACGGTGATGAAGAAATGAGGAGGAGGCTAGGGTTTTAGACTGATGCGCCTTTGGATTTGCTTTTATATGTGAGGATGTGGGACTTTAAAAACCCTATTTTTGTTACTTGCTGTTCTGGCCCTAACACGGCCCGTGTTTTTGTTTTTGCTGGAGTCTATTGGGCCTTTCTTAATGTTTTTTGGTTTTCTTGATGGGTTGGGAATTTGCTAGTAGATCGTCAATTTTATTGAATCAATTTATCATGTTACCAACAAAAATAAAGTAAATAAAATAAAATAGCAAAGATACAATTAGGCAAGGACCACTTCACCTTAAAGAAATAATATTCCTTTATATAATTTTAAATCGATAAAAATAATTATAGTGAGTTTTGTGTGTGGCTGGTCACACCTTGTGACCAATTTATAAGATTATAAAATAACTTATAAAACTGATCGGATAAGCCTTGTAATGCTGACTAATTAACCCCTATAACACTGTCCGGAAAACCCCTATAAAACTAACAAAGTAAGCCCGGTAACCCTTATAACACTAACAAATAGGGATGGCAATTTAATCCGAGTTCGATTCGAATCCGATCCTATCCGAAGGAAAAAATCCGATTCGAATCCGTTTAAAATTAGTCTGAATCCGATAAAATAGATCTGAATCCGAATAGGAGGTGGATCGGACTTGGACCCTACGCAAGTCCGACAGAGTCCGATCCGAGTCCGAATCCGAGAGTATAAGCATATGCTCTATAACTGTACTTGGGACAATTATTTGCTTGTTTTGTAGCAAAATTTTGTTATGTAACTTAGTTTATAATTTAAATATGTTATGTTTATACTTTAATTGGTATGACAATACAAGCAATTATAAGTATATGACATGACAAAAAATAAAAATTAAAAAAATATTTGGACCATTTCGGAGGTCCGAAGAAACGGATCGGATTCGGATTCAAAAATTACGTGTCGGATCGAATTTGGACTCGGATTTTTCGGATTCGGACTCGGATTCGGATCCGAGTCCAGGGTCCGTTTACTAAACGGATCGGATTCGGATTTAGCCACATCTAATCCGAATCCGATCCGTTGCCATTCCTACTAACAAAGTAACCCACATATACCATGTGACTGCCCACAAATCTATTAATCTATTAATTATTACTAAAAACAAAAACATGCTGACATCATTAAGGACACTTGTCAATTTCTTATGAAATTTTTCCCGCCAAAACTATTTTTGACATCATCATTTTTTTCTCTATTTTTTTTTCCTAACTTCTAAAACTAAACAATTATAATATTTCTTTCAAAATTAATAAATAAGATTATGATTACACTTTTTCGAATAAAGAATATTGACAACAATTTTAAACAAATAACATCTATTTAAACCGTGCAACGCATGGGATTAATCTAGTAAGAATTTATTTAAGTGAAAAATATTTCAATTCTGTAAAAATCAATAAATTTAAAAAAAATAATATAAATAAAAAAATAGTTAAAATAGTTTCAATTCAGTAAAATAACTTCACTCCGACAAAAATAATGCTAGTTTAGTAAAAATAATTTCAGTTCAACAAAAATAAAGTGAAATGAGCAGGGTCTTAGTATGCCATTGGCATATGCTTTTTTATTTCCTTTTTTTTGTTGTTGTTTTTTGTTGTTGTTTTTTTTTTTTCTAAAAAAAAAAATTAAAACACACCCACAATGGAGACTAATTAGATAGATTAGAAGTAGCTCATGAAGGATACGAGGTGGGTGATGTATCTATTTTTTATACTTCCTCCGTTTTTTTTACTTGACCCGCTTTGACTTTTACACTATTCACCACCCTTCCTTTGACCGTATTTTGTGAATAATATTTAAGGAAAAACATATTTATGTTGGATCATTTTGAATTCGTCTCAATAAGGACTATCATAATATATAACTTTTATACTTTTTAATTATGAAAAATTAAAGTTATTGACCGTTAAAGTTTTGCATTGGCAAGCGTGATAAAAGAAACAGGTCAAGTAAAAAAAGAACAGAGGAAGTAGTATTTAACCCCCGTCCCTTGGTCATAATTAGTAGTGTTTTTGGCTCTTTAGAGCCACTTTTATTACTAATTGGTGTTTTCTAGTGTTTTCGTAGATTTGGTTGACTTTTACAGGGATTTGCACTTTTGGAGCATTTTCCCGAGATATTATGGAGCAATCACGAGCATTGGAGAAGCACGACCAGTTTTTATAGCCCAGGGCCGGTTAGAGCCATCGAACCGGTGATTAAGGGCTCGGTATATCTGATACCGGGGCATTTGGACCGAGTATTCAAGACCCAAAGAGGAAACCCAGATTGGCCCGAAGAATTGGAGCCTAATCGTAGTCCAATTAGTGGCCCAAGAGAGCTACCCGGCCAAAAAGGCTGGCGCCCGGAGGCGCGCCCGGCCGGGCGCGAGAATACCTGATGAGCAAAAAGGCGTGCCCGATCGGGCGGTGCCTCGCCCGATCGGGCGCGTGTTATTGTTAGGAGACGATTAACGTCGTTTAAGTTTGTTTTAATTTAGGATTCTTATGGAGTATAAATACCTTTTCCGTAAAACAAGTTTAACACCTTTTCTTAACTTTTCTTTACCTTCTTTTACTCTTTCTTAATTATTTTCTTAGATTTTCTCTCTCTACTTAGCTTTTAGATTAGTTTTCTCTCTCTTATACTTTTGTTCTTAATCTATTCTTAATTCCAGATTTATTTTGGTAACAATTTTTCTTCTCTTAATCTTAGTTGTTTATTTTATTCCTTTGATCATGTTTTGTTTTATTGCTTTGATTAGTTTAGTATTTATTATGTGTGAGTAGTTCTATTTCTAGGGTTTATAGGGATCCATAAATAATATGAAGGGGTAATTTATGGTTATTAATTGTCAATGCTAGATTAATTTCCTATTGATTGATTTAATGCTCTGTGACTAGATTTGCGCAGATTTTTTATGCATGAGTTTAACAATATTGATTCGAGATTCGACAGATAAGAATTAATGTTTAGGTCTAGTTTCAATAGGCAGGTTAATTTATAAATGGTTAAGTCGAGATTCGAAAGATGAGATTTAATACCGGTAAATTAATTGTGTGATTGTAATGCGTAGCGAAAGCCCTTCATAATCTGATTAATGTATGCATTGATGAATGATTATTATATTCTACCCTGAAATATTATTTATTGGTGAACCTATGCCCTAAATCCTTTTATTCATTGCTTTCTCCCTATTCTTAATCTTCGTAGTTTAGTTTCATATTCAAATTTATATATTGGTTACTTCATAATCTAGATTATATTAGTTAATTAGGAATAGAAAGACTCGTTTATCTGTGGATTCGACCCTACTTCCCTATCTATATTAGTTAGAGGATTTAGGAATTACTTTTGATTAGGGGATACGACTGTAAGTGGGATTAAATCAATCCACATTCGTTGCCCTAACTTCCAAGGTTGGAAGTGAGTCAAGATGTGTGCTACCTTATTCCCTCCTCTTTAAACAAAAGACCATGAAACATTATCAATTTTTTTTACATAACAGCAAAATATGCTCTAATATAAGTGAGAAGTTGCTAGCATCCGTTCGTTTGACCGTTTCTTTGCTTCTCAGAGCTTAAATCACTTGCAAACAGTCTTTCACCACCACAATCTTTCGCACCACCAGTCTCATAGCTACCTTAAGCCCCCACACCACAACAACAGCTTTAGCAACGTGCCACCTCCCACTTGTCACCACCCTGTTAAACTCCTACAGGCAAAACCTTCCCTACCTAGTCCCTAACAGCAGCCCCAAGACCATAGCTCGGCTCCCGCATCCACATTCACCTTCACCCCCCCACAACAGGCATAAACCACGAATCAGGCTACCCATTCCCACCAACAGTAATTGCACGCAATTTACGCCCCCTCTCACGCACATTCAATACCTCCCTAACTATGCTCTTGGCATAGTTAATAACATCCAACGAATTTAACACCTCCTCCTCCATTTGACCATCACACAAGAGTTCCTCACCCCCCCCAAATAGCCAGTAAATCGTGATAACATTCTCCATATCAATTTCATCAAGCTCTGCAAAACAAGATTCCCACCAATCCAACTGCTGACCCTAAACAAAAGAATATTAGACTCACCCTAGATCTCCCTCGCAAATCTACAATCCTCCAAAGCATGGATTGTAGTCTCGAACCCCCTCATACACAAAGAACATTCCGAATCATATTCATTCATTTGTCTGAATAAAGCACCTAGTTGGTAGAGCATTTTGACATGCCTTCCAAGCAAATATCTTGATCCGAGGCAATACATTAAGGTTCCGGATCTTCTTCAAAATAGTGCAAGAATTGTGGAAGTCACCTCCTCACTTCGCCAAGCATCATCAAACAATGCCCAATACGCTGACTTCACAGTATACTCTCCTAATAAGCCACATATAAGAATTTATGTAAGTGAAAATGATTCCATTTCAGTAAAAATCTATAACTTCACAGAAATAAATTAATAAAGAATAGTTTTAGTTCAGTTAAAATAATTTGAGGCAGCAAAAATAATTTCAGTTCAGCAAAAATAAGGTGAGATAAGCAGGGTCTTAGTATGCCATTGACATATGCTAATGCTATTTTTTTTCTCATATAAGAAAGGACATGATGTTAAGTAGGGATGACAATGGGGCGGGTCGGATGGTACCTCCACATCCATTCTCGCCCAAAAATCTTATACCTATTCCCGCCCCACCACCCATGGCGGGTAAAATATCCACATCCATACCCGCCCCGCAGGTAAAAATTTAATATCCATCTCTGGCTCACCACCCATTTGAATATCCATACCCACCTCAAACTCGCCCCATACCTGCTACCATAATGACATATTATATGACAATAATATGAAGGATTGTCATTTCTAATAAACCTCTTTTTTATCTACTTGGCAAAATTCATACGACGCTAATGTTATTAATATAATATTTATGTTTTATTATATTAGTATAGTCTAAATTCTAAGCTCTTCCAAGCTTGTTTCAACCTTTACAAAAAGTAGTATA